TAGAAACATGATCGGGGCGAACCGGGATTCGAACCCACAATCATAGGTGTCTGGCGTACCGAAAGGACGCGATTCTGCACAGCGAATCGCGGCGCCTTAGACGACTGGGCCACCCGTGCCCCCGTGTGGATTGGATGAAACAGTGCTTAGGTGAAGTTGGTACATGACTCCAGTAGTGGGTCCAAGTGTAGTTAAATATTTAACTCTTTATCAGTACGGTATTATGTAGTGAAAGCATAACCACAGTACATATTTACGTGTTCACGTGTAGCTAAATGTGAAGTACTTCATGCGTACGTTGTCTTGTGGGGCCTGTATTCGCGTCCTTCGTTGCCACTGTTTTCACGTGAACCTAATAGGAGGGGGCACGGGTGGCCCAGCCGTCTAGGGCGCCGCGATTCGCTGTGCAGAATTGCGTTCCTTGGGCACGCCAGAAACCTATGATTGTCGCCCCTATTATGTTTCTAGGTTTGTCAGCACCATACCCGTGCTCGTGGGTTCACCGAAGTGGTAAACGTCAGAGACCTGCATCACTTCGGACTTTCCTCCCACATTAAGCTGACACGCCGTGATATAGCTGGAATTCTGTTAAAAGCGGCGTGAAACCCAACTCACTTACTTAATAGGAAACAGCTTAAGAGCTATTGATTAAATGAGTAAGAGTGTGAATTGTTCCACGTCACTGAACAATGCGATGTCGTTGTTTGTTGGACAAAAGAAAGTATACACCATTTTGATGGTGCTAAAACTGAAAAAATAAACAAGAAATGGTTATTCGATGGCGATGTATTTGTTACAGGTATTATAGGCGATATTACATTATAATATCAATGGATATAACCGGTCAGCCTAGTAACGTTTTGATAACGTTTGGGTTTTTTGGTCAAACCCTATTGTCAAGTTTCTACTTTGTTTCCGGCAGTTTATGTTTATAGACCCCCGAGTTAGATTATAGAGGAAGGGCTACGTGTCTATGGTATGTGGAGGTTAACACTGACGCGTCGACGTTATGTAATGTTAGAATGGTTACTAGACACGCTTGATGTTAAATGTCGACGATTAATTAATTCAATAAGTCTGACACAACATCCACGACGACAAATATTATGCTATTCTTTCTACACTCGGTTTGTACTTACTAAAACTGGACTTCTTTATTGTCATCCCGTGGGGAGCTGTCCTCTTGTTATAGCTCTTGCCGAGCACTGTCCGATTATTCGTGAATTAAAAACCTTGAGGGAACAAAATGTTCGTTAATAGTGGTCCCGAAATTGTTTTTATTTCCTAGACCTAAATTCGTGTTTGACTGCTAATTCGGGTGTATTTAGTGCAGAACGGTACGAACTTAGTATATTATTATTCTCTTCCCCTCTGTATAAGTTATACTTACATCAGATTAAGTAGTTGCTCACGAAATGTTTTATAAATATATAAATTATTTCAGCTAAATTTCATTAAATTTTATTGTAAATTACATTACAAATAGTATATCCAGAGTTCAAATATATTCGCCTTGTTTGTTTGTTTGTTGTTTAACGCCGCACTCAGCAATATTCCAGCTATATGACAGCGGTCTGTATATAATCGAGTCTGGATCAGACAATCCAGTGACTGACATCATGAGCATCGATCCACGCAATTGGGATCGATGACATGCATCAACAAAGTCAGCGAGCCTGACCACCCGATTCTGTTAGTCGCCTTTTACGACAAGCATAGTCACTTTTTACAGCAAGCATGGGTTGCTGAAGACCTATTCTACCCCGGAATCTTCACGGGTCTCTTTGCCTTGTAGTCATTTCGGAATTATACATTATGTAAAGTACAGTCGAAGACAAACTGTCCTGCTTATTCCTTGAACTAAAATGGGACATCTGTATATTCTCTTTTTGAGGCCAGGGAATAGCCAGGACATGTTTTGTTCGACTTGTCATTTTATTGCTTACTCTCATCATTAACGCAACAGACACCATTGTCCCAAACGGGAATTAATTGCAGTCATTTGAATCCATATCAGACGTTACATTTAGAGCAAAGCAATTAAGCATTTCTTAAACAAAATCTATTTCCATGATGGGCCTTCCTTCATCCCTAAACATTCACAACCGTATCCCGTCAACCACTCCTTATTTCTGAAGTACATGGCGCTAAACTATCAATAAAAATATTATGAGTTACCATGGCGACCAAGAATGTACGCGTTGAAACCTGAGAACATTGTGCGTTTAAATGTTCATGAGCAGTCCGACTAGCCAGGGAAACAAAGGTTTTAATGTAAGTAACCTGCCTCAGACTTATCCAATCATACTCGAGCAAGGACAGAATAAAAAGGATTACACTTGTTTGGACATGTTTCAGCAAGCACTTGTCAAACTAATCACAGACATTAGTAATTAAATCTCCTTAGCAGAATTACTCAACCATATCATTGGTGTTAGTGAGCCATGGCGTATACACTAAATATAACGTGAGGTTAATGGTGGTTATGTTGCATTTACATAACATAAACCTAAAGGATTAGCGATCGTATATTGTATTAACGTTGTATTGATTAATCAACCGACAACTGTCGACCACAATGTAAACCTCCCTATTAACCTTCGCTGCAAGAATTGCTTTAATACAACTGTCGTCGTCCTTCCTACATTCATTTTGTACGTGTGAAAAGAACACGAGTGTTATGTATCAAGTATCATTCTCCCCCAAACAAGGCTGATTGTTTTGTTTCATTTTGCTGGATATCAAATCGTTTCGTCATGTTCTCAAACACTTCCAGAAAAAAGGGTTAGGGTTGCTGTCAGTGTTGTTTGTCTGATATCACAGTAACGACAATACGGGTCGTTGTGTCAGTTCTAAAACCAACCAGCGACAAAACATGACATTTAGATCTACAATGTTCTTTTTCAGAAGTCAGTAGCCGTATCCTCAAATTGCCAAAAGTCCACAACACTACACAAGACACAATGATGTCAATTCGTAAGCGATTTATGATGGCAAACTTTGACTTATGAAACTTAGAATATGAAATCAGGCTTACGTTGTCAAAAGGCAACATTTACTATTGTAAAGTCATCTTGCATTATTCATTCCTTGGACGATAAAAACACGTTTGTACAAGGTTCCGTTTGTTGTTTTTCTTCCTCAACGAAGCATATCTGGTTATTTCTGAAGCATACTGTGTGTATTTTATTGATATAGAGAGGACGGGGTGACCCTTCACAACTTCTGTATTGTCCGTTTGACATTTATCGTTGTTAGAACTGCTCACACCTCTCAGAATGAATTCAAGGCACGTTTGTGGCAAACCTTCTCTGACGCTTTGTTCAAATATTTCGGAGACCACATCCTTAAAAACTGCTTCATGTAATTCGGTGAGACCTTCTGTGGACGGCAATGGTATACAGTAGACTTGAATATCCATACCTAGGTTCTTAACGCCCCCGTGACGAGGGTGGGTCATTGGGAATATATTGCAATTATGTGGAAGCACTTGCCCTCTAGTGCTATACATGACAATCACATTTGTGTGACTCATCTGTACTACGCGTGAGAAAGAAAGTTGAGATAGGAAGACTTCAAGATAACATGTGTTTATGTTGTTTAAGCAATGATATATATAGGACAGCAGACCATTCAAGAATAAAAATCTTAAGGTTGTGTTTTACTTTGATATCGGTTGTAATGCTTTTCGCGAACACCTGGTGTCATTTCTGATTTTTAATTATCCATTCATATAATCCTCACCACTATCTTGCCTTTTACGCCCAATGGAATGTCTTTTTTGGCACATAATCGAGACTGATTATTTTTTGGATTTGACGTTAATATTTACACGTTTTCCACATTTGTTAAGCCCCTAGTTTGTGGATGTTGCTGACAGACGTAGACACATTATCAGAGAGGCCTAAGGTACCCTGTAGTTTATAATAGTAATTTCAAACTTCAAATATACCAAGTAAGCAGTAGGTTACATTTTGCCGCTTTTAAATCAGCTGTGTTTTATTAACAAAATATACGTTTACAGTACATAAATGTTTAAATACAAAACATACTCACATGTTTGATAATATTTCTTTTATCTCAATTTTTCGTTGCATAAATATGACTCTAACGAAAAACAAAAAACAATGCCATGACATTCTCAAAACACAAGCCCATGAACGTTCAATCCAGTGCTGGGTAGGGATAACACATGCAATAAAAACTGATTTATATCCAGGCAACAATGCTCAACACCGCTCGTCAGCTTAAAACACTTTCAGTTCGGTTCGACAGTCCTACCCGACAATCGAGTGACTGTGCATGGACCTTTATGTGAATATATAAATAACCAGGTGAGCTACAGCTCTTCTTATCAGACGCAGACAACACTGGCCATGATATGACCCATGGAAGACGAAATCACACACAAACATTCGTCATTCTACACATATCACAGAAAGAAGGCTCACGCCCGCCTATTGCAATTTTCTATCCATTGCTGGTGGCATCACGGGATTTCTTCTCTGTCCGTGTCTTTCCCTACAGTTCCCCTTAAAACTTTCGTGCACATAATTGCATGGATGCTCTTAGGTATTCATAGCTGTCTATTGAGCCATCACAGATGTTGCTGTATATCCAGTATTGTGGTTTTCACATATTTTGTAAAGCAATAAACATGACGATATTAGACGGTGGTTATAACAGTGGATATTTAATAGTCTTGTCATGTTATTGCTCATTTGTCATGCATTAATAAACATACCCATAAGTTATGAATGCCATTGATTTTTCATGTCCTAATCCTCACAAGCGAGAAGGTCAAATTGATTTACAACATAATGATTTGCCAGGGCTAATTGTGTCATTAATTATGAGCATTTATAACATAAAATTGTTTTGTGCCCTTATTATGGTCCTATTCATATTTATTCTATAATATAATCGCCAAGACAACCCGTAGCCTGCGATACACCCCCCCCCCCCCCCCCCCCCCCCCCCCCCCGCCCCCCAAACCCACCATCCCCTCAATAATCATAATTAAAATGGATCATGAGATCACTTTTATCTCATATACCACTTTCAGAACTGTCCCACTATCTGGTTTGCGATTACAGATACAACGTTTGCATGCGTTTTCTCATATTCTTAGTGTGTCCTTGCTCTCCAGAAGAGCCTCTTGTTCGTGAACTGATGTCTGAATCACGGAAGTCCCTCCCAAGACTTTTCCTGTGACCACCACTGCTACTGCTGTTGGAGTCCTTCGAGTCTTTAGAAGGTGATTTCTTCATTTTGGATTGCTTTTTGCTCTTCTCTGCACTGCTACCACTTCTTGCTTGAGATCCACCACCAGCAGAAGAAGCTGAAGGTATGGCGGATACAGAGTTAGATCTCACATATTGTCTTGGGGGTAAGGGAGGGGGAGATCCTTTCATCTGATCCACTTCGAACCCCTCAACAGCGGCGGACAAAGGCCTTGGGGGTAAAGGAGGGGGAGCTGACGGGGTGGAAGAACTGTCCGAGCCCCCATTTGTAAGCTGGCCATATATAGGTCCCCCACTTGCAGCAACATCGGGGTCGTTGTCAAGATGAAGTTTGCTTGGATCTGTTGGTTTGTATTTCTCATGGTGGGTGAAAGGTTTGCCAGCTTCTAGAGCCATAAGCCTTGCGCGGAACTGATCAATAGGTTCATAAGCTGGCTCCTCCCAATAACTTTCCTCGTCTGAATCATAAGTAAATTTGGCTTTGGGTGCTGGTCCACCATCCCTGACAAACTGATAAAGATCGTCAATTTCGTCCATTAACATATCCTCTTTGCTCTTGGATCTCTTCAAACTTGACCTAGTTTCACTGTTGTCAAATCGTTGAGGAACGGAGAAAACATTTGAACTGGAACGGTTTTTGTTCTTCACTACCGAATCCGGAAGTGACACGATAAGATGGATAGTATTGTTGTAGTTAGACACCATGCGGTTACATTTTGTCAACAAAGTCCTAAATGCTTCTGTATCCTTGATATCCGATTGATTTTTGGCCTTGGATATCATGAGGTTTATGTCTGTAGGCACTGGTAACATACGTACATGTGTCTTTTCCAAAGGACAGACGAAAGCTGTTTCGTCGGTATACACCCAATCCAGACGTATTAATCCTGTGAAACGTGAGGAATCAACTTTTGGTTTCACCCCCTGAATAAGTTTGACAGTCAATGGTAGACGAAATCTCCGTATGATATCCCGAATTGTAAACACGCCGGTAAACTCATCCGGCCCAGCGATCGGGGTGAATATTCCCTTTTGATCGAAACTGAGATATAAGCTCTCACCTTTTGAGTCCGTACATTTGAGCAGCTTCACACGTTTGTTATGAGCCGGGGACGGGAGCGACACCTCCCCACACAACGTCAGCTGCTCCCCTGCTGGCACAATACGGGTTTTATCAAACGTATGTTTCCCCTCCGAGCTTGCCAAATAGGCTTTTACATTCTCTCGTACCAAACACCTCTCCGGAAATATCTTGGCCAGTTCTGGTACACTGGTATAAGGCTTAGCAGATTTCCCATCCTCGGAAAGTAGTTCAAACCATCCTTGGTACGACACAGGGATAGCCAATCTCTGGTCTAGTGTCTGTAGTCGGGTACACGGGAAGCCTCTTCTAGTCTGGGTAGTGTCTATCCGACGTACACAATGAGCTAGCACCTTCACCCCCATTTTGATTGAGTGAATGAAAACATCCTGGTGTTGACGCTGTAGCGAAAATTTCGACGATCCTATATTCATATAGGAGCCCTTCACCACCTTGGCGTATGTAGGGAAGGATTTCTTGGACGAAAACTCCTTCAAAGTCACTGAATCCGTCTCCCATTCTGGGGACACGGTTGAAGGTGTGTCACTGGTGGCAGCCATGTTGTCTACATGTCCGAGCCGCGAGTGTCCCCGAGATCGGTGTGAAGCAATGCGTATCATCGAAGCGCTAGCGACTTACTATGCTATTTAGGTCCTACCATGAGCCGACCGGTCGGACTGGTTTCCAAATAAGGCAGACTCAGCGTTGACAAATATCGTCTGCTCCCAGCGGCTGTCGGCTGCCTTGTGAGAGAGTGTGCAGACGACAAAATCAATGTGACGTAGCTAGCACAGGGAGACTGTTAAACTCCCAATCGCTGCTCTTTAATATCACGACTTCTAACAGGAAGGTATTTGTTTTAGGAGTGGTATTTTATAGGTATTGTAGAGAAGTGGCCATGGGAGATCCTGTGTTTTAAGTTGGGCTGTGAAACCTCGCATATTAATTAGAATAGCCCAGATCGCCACTTCAACATTAACCCGAGGCGCCTTGCCTAGAGTATGAATGCCCCTGGCAATGAACAGATATTAAGCTTACCTCAATAAGGCTATGCTTGTTAGTGACCATTGTATATAATTATATGACCTTGACTACTGATTAATCTCATATGTTATGCTGAGTTACCAACAGTAACAGTTAATCAAACGGACATTTGTAATAATCATCTAAATTCTACATAAATTCAGATTTGTGTCAACTGAACAGGAACGTTCGTTGAGATTACTCCTTTGATAAACAACAGAAAGGAGTATACATGCAACCTTCCGAACTTAAGCTTAAACATTGTCAAGCGATTTCATTATTTCTTTTTGTAAGATAAGCATGTTATGCGATTTGGAACCTGATAATGTTGTACATCGGCATTCTTTTGTGACATACATATAAGCATGTTCGTTATCAGAACAGCCTAGTGTTCGTGGCCACCAGTGGGACACGGTGTTAACAAGGGTTATCAAAACTGATGAATATATCTTAATCTTATTCTTTAAAGTATGCTGTACTGGGATTGTTTGAAAGTGATTTAATAGCGATTCATAAACATGTGCTCATGATAAAGTCGGAATCGACTCGGTTATGGGCAGAAATTTCGTATGAATATGGAAAGGGTTTTGACGCTCTCTATATATAAACTTATGATAAAACTATATATATATAATGTTTATATACATGATAACTAGAAGAACGACATTGTACATGGCATCAATTTTATCCATAAGGCACACTTCGGAACAGAAAGTGAGGGCTTGTTGGTCTGTCTTCCAATCATGAATACTATTATGGGAATGCCATCTTGTCTCATTGGACCCTGTCATTGCTCAACCTATTAACCATGAGTTGGTCTTCTTCAGGTGCGACCACGTCTTAAAGCAACGTTCGCTCAGTATCTTCGCCTGTCTTGTGTACAGGGGAGTGACATATATCGTTTTTGTATTAATACAATGCTGTTAATCCACCAAATGCAAGACAAATTAAGAAAATTGAACTACGTTCCGCATGAATATCAATTAACACAGAAAAAAAAGTTATTTCAAATAAAATGTTATTGATAAGACTTATACATATCAATAGAGTAATGATAAGGGTTTTTTGCGAATGAACTTACGTTTATTGCATTTCGATATATCCATGTACATAAAAATAAACAATGCAACAATTTAATGTGGTTTCATATATATATGCTTATCTTTCTTATATACCCAGCGTCGCTGTTCTATCCGGATGATGCATCGAGGGGCCGCTTGTAAGCAGTGTTGTTTTACGCGATGAAGTGACATCGCACAGAAGCCCTCAACATCGGTGTAAATGCGTGTGTTTGACAAACTGTGAGAGTAATTTCTCATGCAGGTCGTTGTCCTTTACACCCTTAACGTCAGAAACATATTTTGTTTCCAATTGTAGACATATTTATTTCTCATATATGCATAAGACGTTTTTTCACAATAACCTGTTTTCATGTACAAAGTCAAATCACGTGGCGTTTTCCCTGCTTAACACATCAAATGAAATGTTTCAACATCTGTATGACACCATTCTCAAGCGGAGAAATAAAAGAAAATTATGTTTATTAACGGACAGTACAGAACATATATATATATATATATATATATATATATATATATATATATATATATATATATATATATATATATAAGTGTGCCTTGTTTCGGCAACTGCTTTCAGCCTAGTAAAGTTTTGATAACGTTTGTAATGTTTTGGTAAATCCAATTTTCAAGTGTAAACTTTTTGTGCAAAGTTTATTTGTGTGATTTATTCATCTATTGTAAATTCTTTTCAAAACCAATTGGCATTCTTGTCATGATTGTGTGGTTGGAATTTCTCCTTGGTCTAGTGGTAGAGCGTCCGCCCGGAGAGCGGAAGGTCCGGGGTTCGATTCCCGACTTCGTCATACCAAGAGATGATAAAAGATTTTACTTGTTGTTACCCTGTCTGGCGATCGGCATTAAGGGGCTAAAACAAGGACTGGTCGGCTCGGAGTCTACTGAGTGGGGTATTCATGTTAAACTGCGGCATGGTATCTCAGTGGGCTACCACTGTAAATCGGCATCAGTCCGGACTAGTCCAAGCAGCCACACACACACGTGCATGCACGTCGCTGTATAAGTGCAATAATCTTGGACGCGACGTGAAACCCCATTTCATATCACCTCGCTGTGCAAGCTTGCGTCCATAAGGCGTGTCACACACGTACGATCGTGAGTTCGAATCCTACATTCGCCCTGATTATGTTTCTAGGTTATCTCTCAGCACTATATCCGATGTAAACGTCTGGTCTTTCCCGCCACACCTTGCTCATACGTCGTCTTATAACTGAGGGGGCAGGGGTGGCCAAGTCGTCTAAGGCGCCGCGATTCGCTGTGCAGAGTTGCGTCCCTTGGGCACGCCAGAAACCTATGATTTGGGGTTCGAATCCCGGTTCTCCCCGATTATGTTTCTAGGTTTGTCAGCACCATACCCGTGCTCGTGGGTTTCACCGAAGTGGTAAATGTCTGAGACCTGCATCACTTTGGGCTTTCCTCCCACATTAAGCTGACACGCCGTGATATAACTGGAATACTGTTAAAAGCGGCGTTAAACCCAACTCACTCACTCTTATAACTGAAATACTGCGTTAAAACCAACTCACTCACCCATCACCCGATACGCCAGCTGATCCTTCGTGCATTTTGTTCAGGTCTTATCAGCAGCCAGCGCCGTCAACGAAGTCAAGGGTCGCATTTTGCCTTTCGACACATATTTCTCAAATCGTTTTAAACCAAAGACGTTGCACATTAAGGCAGGGTAGGGGGTGAAAAGGTTGAACGTTTAAACTTTAACAGTTCAAACTGAAAGTGACATTTGATTGATGGACGTGACAGCCATAACAAGCCAGGTCACAATGACTTATTGTCACGTGAGAGGCTGTTTAGTTGTACTGGATGTGACGTGTCACGGGTTGTTTTGGGCATGAAATAGTCTCCAGACATGGAATAGATTTCAGTGGCGTTGCTTCGTGACAATATTATGTTAAATGTCAACAAACATAATACAAGCATTGTTTCTGTTTATGACACGTGGCAGTACACGAACAATAATATAAATAAAACCGACCAAACCCTTTCCACAATCATAAATGATCTCTGCTAAAAGCACAGTCCATTTGGAAAATAGTTGCATGATGGCAATATTGATGACAATGACGACGACGACGACGACGACGACGACGACGACGACGATGATGATGATGATGTTGATGATGATGATGATGAAGAAGAGGAAGAACTCAAATTCCAGACATATCCTTTATGGTGTATGTCTCTCTCAGCATTACGACATAAACAGAGTGTGTTGCGTAATCCTCCACTGATTATGGTGTTTGTCTAGGCTGATACAATAAGACATTTAATCTCATCCGGGGATCACCGATGTTTGCTAAAACCGTGCACGTGTGGTTAAAGATTTGAAAAATGTTATCACAATTAATTCGTTGCATATAATTAGCATCTCAATGTATTGCATTGCCCAACTGTTCTTTAATCTGGCGCAGGAAAAAGAAGTATTTGGAGCATTTTTTGGCCCGTCGGATTCACTGAGTAATCTCTTCATCTGTTTCAAAATCTAGTCTATACAATTTCAAACGGACTGTTTGGCTTCGCGTGAATTGAAAATATGTTTAAGCATTGAGTTCATTTACGTCAGAAAAAAATGCGCTGTAGTAAAAAAATAGAAACTATCGTTTGTGAAACTGTAACAGCTCTTTACCAGTGTATTACCAATGTGTAACTGGTGTTGGATATTGACAAGAGCCGTTACCGTTTCACAAACGATCTTTTCTATTTTCGGACAACGGTGCGAATTCAGTGTCGGTTTCCGTTTACGGTATGACAGAAATACTTTGAGTCACAATAGCAACACATTTATGAGCATGATGCCTATGAATCTGATTTTCACATCTTATTTCAATATAGAGTATACATTTTATACATATTTGACATAATTCCAATTGATATGAACTTTATTTAAACTTGTTCAGATTATTAGGATAATACGGAATAATATACGCAATGATAACTCCTAAACGAGTTTAGATTATGAGGAAGTTGTGTTCAGGTGGTGTTTATGCTGTGAGACGATATCATTTCATGTGGTTGGACCCTGTAACGTGTTTAGATTGAACAAACTAAATGTGTATTCCGTTTAAGAATTCCATTTAAGAATTCAACAAATTCAACAAATTCATCAAAATGACGGCAGAGAACGAGTTTATCGACGCAGAGGGGAACGTTTGGCTCCGGCGTGTATTCGAGAGGTCCATCCATTCGGTGGGGGAGGTGTCATGGTGTGGGGCGGTATTTGTGGAGATCAGAAGACTGATTTGGTGATTATACACGCTGTACAGTACAGAGACCAAGTGTTGAAGCCAGTTGTGCTTCCGTGCTTACAAAACCAACAGCAGGGGCCATTGTTTCAACACGACAACGCCAGATACTGCAAGACTGACTCGGAACTTTTTTTAAGCCAGCAGAACGTTGACGTTTTGCCCTGGCCTGCCCACTCACCCGATATGAATCCTATTGAACATCTGTGGGAACATCTTCACAGACAGATTAGAGCACGCCATCAGCCTCCCGTCAACAGACAAGAATTGCAGCAGGCCCTGAGAGACGATATGCAAAGGGATTCCAGTCGACGTCATCAGACACGCTGTTGAAGGCAACTGTGTGGACAATGAAC